CAATATATGCAGCTACTTCTGAGTTTAGTCAAATTTAAGACTGGCAATCAGAGATGAAACCTGTTCTTTCTAGATCATTTTTGGTTGGGAAATCTTGCCACCTTGGAAACTTGCAGTCTAATATCACATATGTTGATCTGGCAGTATTTCATTGTAATCTATAAAAGAGATCTCAAGGCTTCATGAGTAGTGAATAGACATTTTTTTTCCATAATCAAAGCTTCTACAGCTTAATCCTTGATAATAAGTAACCAGCCACAATAAAGAGCAATGCAGGGCCCTACATGAAAATAGATCTTCTGGCTGTGACCAGATCCCTCAATACCCAATACTACCCTGACCAAGAAGTTTCCCCACCATATCAGGAAAGTAGGAAAAAGGTGTAGTGATCTAAGAAATGGGTATGCTTGCTACCCAAGCTGACCCTATACTGATTGACTATGCCATTTCAAAGTGACAGTGGGAATAAGATTATTTCTAAAATTTTGCTTTAGATCCAGTATTGAACCTGAAACTGCTAGATAGAACAAGATCTGTCAAATAAAAAGGAAATAATCATTCACTTTACCAAACATGTTTCCTCTTTTAAGTAAAGTTAAAAACTGCCATACCAAAGTAACTATTTATTGTAATCAACAGCAAAGCCAAGACAGTTGCTTGTTTTCTACTGATGTGATATTTTATAGTATTGCCTCTCCTCAGTGTTGCTTTAAAAAATCAAATATAAGAAAGCAAAAAAAGTTAAGGATCTATAGAAGCAAATAGATGTGACAGTGTACAGGCACTTGTGGATGCTATGTATACTTTTTTTTTTTATTTCAGCATATTATGGGGTACAGATGTTTAGGTTACGTGTGTTGCCCTTGGTTCCCCTCCCCCCAAGTCTGTGTTTCAAATACGTCCATCCTTCGGGTAGTGCGCATTGCACTCCTTGTGTATACAAATACCCGTCCCCTCCTCCCTCTTGACTAAAGAAACAGAATGTTGCTTCCTTGGAACCTACAGGCTCAATTTGTACATGATTTTAACAAACATAGACATGTGACTTCCACTATGTTATAGGAACATTGTATTATGAAGAAGGGATGGCTTATTACAAGTAGACATGTCAAGAAAAGACCAGTGTTGTCCAGGAATCTAGTAACAAGAAAGTAGGCAGAAAGACAGAAACACTCAGAAAGTCAGAAGTGTGGGGCTATTTAGGAAAAGAGGCAAAGATCTCTATACTTATGATTTGCCCAATGTGGGCGTCCATGAGTAGATTAATCATATTTAGTAAGATAGAGATAGGGAAATCTAAAATTTGGTTTAGAAAGAGTTTAATCAAAAGAAAGACAATGCTGCCAGTTTTCAATACTTAACTTTCTTAAAAACTTGGTTATCCAAAATGACATATTTCCTAAGATTCCATAAAGCAATGGTTTTACTGTACTTATCTGGAGGAGGCATTCCATAGCCTTCATAACAACACAGCAAGTACATAATTCTAAACTTGCAGCATCCTAACTCATTGCATTCACTGATGAGTAAACTCTGAGTTTTCAACAATCGAAAAAATCTCTACCAAGAGCGTTTAGAATATTATGATTACTAAGTTCATTTGTACATTTTGCTATATAGCATTTGAACAGATGGAAGTGATTAGGTTATTTGTTCTTAATTGAATAATTGTCCTCCTTACTGAAAGGAGATGAATATTTCAAAGTAGTAGATACTATTATAAGACCCTAGCTTTTTTCTTTATTTCCATGGAAGACAGCAAAATTATGATTCTGATTATTGTCATACAAGTCACCCCTTTCTCTTCTGTCCTATTCTGTACCTATCCCACCAAAGAGGAAATAGAAAATGGCGTTAATCTAGAAAGAATTAATTTAGGCAAATGTGTGTTGTCTTGGAAAAACAAATACATCAGGTATTAAGAAACAGAAAGGGCAACATACGTAACCTAAACATCTGTACCCCCATAATATGCTGAAATAAAAGAAAAAGAAAAAAAAAGAAAGAAAGAAACAGAAAGGGTCATTTTACCAGAAAGTGTCAAAGAGATTTCCTTTTTTGCCTCAGTGTTCAAGATATGACATAAAATTGGAAAGTAATGATATATACTTTACATTAAGAACCAAAACTAACTTCATTTATTCTTTATGAAAAAAATGCAGAGCATTCACCCCTTCCCTTTCCTCCACTCCTCGAAACCATGAAGTTGGAAAGAAACATTTTACTGGAGCATCTCAATCCATAGTCAGACAGCCAATCAAACCCTCTATGCCCCAAG